CGGTGCGCTGTGTTAATCTGTCTTGCCACCTAACCGAAATACAGTGCTTTGTACAAAGGGCACTCTCAGAACAAAGCCGATTTGCGTTTCTCATGGAAACACGGTTTTTTATCAGGGGCACAGATTTCTAACCCACTCAGTACACGCCCGATTCACATAGGTGAGAGAAATAAATGTCACGTGAAGGAAAACGTGATATTGGTTTCAGAGAGATGCTTTCGCATCAGCGGTTTAGCTACCTGTGTCGGAAAGTGTACCGTGGACGAGAACCCGGAGAACATTCGAGAAAAAACTGCCCGATCCGATTGTGATGGCCTGCTGCATTTCTTAATGTAAACTGTAAGGCCGGCCAAACTCAAGTCCCTAGTTTCCACTCCATATTTCCACTGTGGTGCACTCGATTGCGATCTGAGAGTTCCAACGTGTCGGCGGGGGAGCTAATCCGTCACCTCGCCACATGCCAGCCTGAACAGAAGTGCACTGCTATCAAGTTCTTCATTTCGAACGAACGGAAATTCCGTCAACACCGGAAGGTGATGTACACGCGAACCTGAATAACGCTCATCAGTGCCGGCCGCCACAAGGAACAATGCCTTCCAGACATATTCAAATCAGCGAATGAATTTACCGGTATTGTGGGGGGTATGGCTGATGCTAAATTTCCAGCAATGAAAGTTTAGACAAACGGACAGGTACTGTAACTTTCTTGAATACACCTTCATGGGTCTTTCAGGTTAACTCACTTTCGGTGCCTAGCTGCGATGCCACTCGAAAGAAGAACGAGGGCTGAGCTACCTTCAGGAATCGTCACTCGATGAGTCGGTCAAATCACAATGTTTACTGACACAGGAAGAGACACAAACTGCAATCTTCAGAGTATTCCTGTTGTTCCTGCGAATGACCGGTTTTGAGACAATCTGAGCTATTGTACGCATCGGCTGAAACATGTTACGTGGCGCACGCAACTCGATACTCTGTGCCTGTACCTAATCAAGTTGTAGGCGGACCACAGGTCATATTACGATACTCCATTCCCACACAGTAACAGACCGTGCTACATTCGTGTGATTAGAAAATTGTAACGATAGTTATTGATAGCAGAGTGTCTGTGCGTGCATAACTAAGTAAATCCAAGTAAGTCTCCATCACACTAAGCTCAGTGTAGTATAATTTCACAAGATGAGTGAAACTTCATTGTGAGAGGTCATCACTCGAAGAGCCAGCCAATCGACAAGTGAACACGTGACGTAGTTTTTGTGCTTGACTGATGAGTGGCACGTACTCAATTCTGTCTAAGTGAGCGTTATTCACGCCGCTGTTCAGCCGTCCCTGATCGAACGGTTTCTTGCCTACGCAGTGACCTTCTGCGAAAGCTCTCTCCATACCAACCGAACCGATTTGTAGATTTATGTATGGTCAGCAATTTTCCTACTATGAAAAGAGTGATGTAATCGACAAAGCTTTCATTTCAATCCTTCGCATGAGTGCTATTAATCTTGGTATCTGCTCACAACAGTGTATACGTGTGTGGTTGTCTTCACGATGGAGAACGCGGGAAGGCAAAGCCCTCCAGATAGGGACCAGAAGTGAGCCGTACTTTCGCCACTCTGAAATGGACACGGGAAACGGCACTCTCTTCGGCAAACCATGGTTCAAAGTACGC